TTTTATAAATAATTTTTTCAATCCAATTAGTTAGTATTAAAACATAATTCTTTTTACGCGGGTCCAAAAGGTAAATTTCTTATATAGACATTTTTTTGATAGGCATTTTTTATTTAAAATATCCAAAAAATCTTTTATTTTTATATTAGAAATTTTCTTATGAGAAATCTCCTAAATGTTTAAGAAATGATTAAGAAAAAAGAATGAATTTTCTAGATATTTTTCAGTAGACATTTTTTTATATTAATTTTTTAGATATTTCTAAGCATTTTTTTAGTAGGTGCTTTTTATAATAAAATTTTATTAATTATATGAATAAATAAGTAAACTTTTTTTTTATAAGGGTGATCGTCTTTTTTACATGTCGCGCGCGTAATCATTTCATCTTATAATATTTTAAAATGTCAGGACGAGGAAAGACAGTGATAAATATTACAATTCTCGAAGTTATTGAAACAGTACAAAATAAGTTGAATACAAGTTTGACTCCAATAAATACATTAACTGTAGAAATCGCGAAAATTAAACAAGATCTTAAAAATCTTCAACAAGTGAATAAAGTGAATAACGAAATTAATATGTTTATGCAGCAAAATAATACTGATATATTAAAAAATTATTATTTATTGAAAAGGAAATGTCTATTTTCATCAATGTTAGAAGAGAATTTCGAAGAATTTAAAGTACTACATTAATGTTAAAGAAAGTACAACTGAAATAATGGATAATAATGAGGCGTCAACTTAAGCAATGCAAAGTTTTTAAAAAATAAAAAAAAACTGGTATTCAGGCTTTCAATAAAACATCAAAAATTAGCAAAACTCATCTTATTTTATTAATGAGTGAGTCTTAATGTAAAAAGATATAAAGAAGGAAAATCTTGAAATAATATTGAAAGTGATTTTCTTTTTAACGTTAATCAGTCTGTAACAGTATCACAAAATCAAGAGATATTAGATAATCATATTAATGAATATGTAAAAACTTATGAATCTCAAAAAAGAAACCATAGGTAAGATTTTTTAATTTAAAGGAGAATCTAAACATAATGGGCCATTATTATTATATCATAGGTTACTAGAATTAGAATTTAAGATCAGATCCTATTAAATTGCAATCTGTTTTGAATCAGGTCGGATCTGATTGGATCAAAACTAGATCAGATCAGATAAAAATTCTTAATTCGTCATTTCTTTCATAAATGATTTTTTATAAATTTTATTATTATTATATATACATAATATCTCAGATCAGGCCTCAGATTCCAGATCAGATCAGATTCAGTATTTAAAGAACCAGATCAGTTCAGTTCAGCTTAAACAGATTTCAGCTCAGATCAGCTTAAACCAGATCTGTTTGATGCCTTATTTATTATATTGTTAATCAATCAATGACAAAATCAAATATCCAATTAACCAAATATTCACTGAATATTATTCATTGGATGAAACCTCTATCATTCCTGTTTTTGATATATACTTCAAGTTAGGGTTGGGATATTTATCATACCATGTGGTATATTACCTGTTATATAATACCATAGTGGCAGGACATCTATGAT